CATTTGATGACATGAAGCCAAAGACACATTATAACGAAATACACTGAAAATATACACAATGTTGGTAGGGTGGGTAACAGGTTCCGACTACCTCTTGTGTTATTTACGAAAGCAAACTCAACCTATCTCTCGTCTGATTGGTTTGTAGAGCACATCATAGTTCAGCAGTGTGTTTTTATTCTTGGGGTGCATTTAGAGAGAATTACACATGGAACTATTACACAGCTATGCCAAGTTGTTGTCAAAGTGATGGCATTATTTAATTTACAAATTCTGTCTACAATGAGAAAATAAAAAAATATATTAACTCCGAAAGACCATGTGGACAAAAAGCCTTGAGAACAGGTTCTGACCTCCATAAATAGAATTATTATCAATATCACAGCCAAACAATTAATTAAAGTCTGGCTCGTCCTTTCTATGTCCCGTCACTAAGAAACCAAAGGGGTAGATCTTTGAGGCTGCCAACAAAAAAACAAATTGTCTGAATTAATCTCACGGCATGTGATGTTCACTAGCAATGCTATGTAATTGTAAAAATAACTGGATAATGATGAATAACGTCAATATTATGAACCGTGACTCCATTCATCATGGCATACGGAGTCATGTTTCTTCATTGTGAATATACCTATGTAAACTTCTACCGTCCAATATATCTAAAAATTATACGAATGCATTGTATATTAGGTGCAAGGTATCCGTCTCGACGATGCAGTTTCTCTGTTCAATGAACATAAATTAAAGCTCTAGACCTATTTTATCAGAAGGAGATTGCAGAAGACAAACAAGTGAGTAGATCCTTTCCGTTCTGTATATACATATATCTTCTTAACTTCGCAGCTCTAATACTTCGCGGTCCCAGTTTGGTCTAGTTCAAAAGTATTAGATTTAGTCCGTGAACTGCTGTCCATGTATACACGCATAAAACATATTTCTGCACGGTAGATATATTCTCTATGTATTTACTTTCTCATTATCTTTACTGACTGCGGATAAAGCGAAATTTAAATTCACCGCCAATATTATCATGTATACCACGGCTAATATCATCATGTATGCCACGGCTAATATTATCATGTACACCACGGCTAATATCATCATGTATACCATCACTGATATTATCATGTTTACCACGACTAATATCATCATGTATACCACCTCTAACATTATCATGTTTGCCATCACAAATATTATCAAGAGCGCTAGATAATGCCTTCTGAGTTTAGTGTACAGCAAAGTGAGGGGTGGGGGTGCTATGATTATCACGTTAGATTCATTAATACAATGATAGTTGCCCCATGCTTCATACCTATCATTGGTATTATGTGTTCAGATGAGATCGGCAGTCTGTGTCACTGACCTAACCACCCGTCCACACAGTCTTCATGGCTGCTACGAAGAAATTCCAATAGAAACGAAGTTACAATATATAATATATATAGTTAATATATATAAGTTGTCATCCACTTGACGATATGAAACTGATTCTTACATCTATAGAACAAATATTGTCACATGTTAATGTGTAACATTATACAAGGAACACAAGTGAATAGTGCTTTTCAACACATTTGTTTAATGTAGAAACAGCAGAGCCAAGTACAGAATAAAACTACAGTATTTATATGTTTCGTCCTCCGAAGTCTTGTCAGTGATGTTAAGGGCCTTAATTGTTGAAATCTAGGAGGCGACCGAGGAAAATCCAAATCAGTTTTTTTTAATGTCAAAAACGAGATTGAAATGTTACAAATCCGAAAAATTCATTATTACACATTTGTCGTGTTACGAATTTTCTTTGGTGATTGGCAGCATATCACGAATAGTTTGTCGTAAATTAACCTTCACTTCAAGTAGTTTTTGTGCTGCTAGTTAATGCAAATGGCATATGTCCACGATGATGAGTTCATGGCCAAGTAACTACACAGCATGTATGATAAGGTTACCATGCAATTCGTGTATTTCTTAATTCTCCACTGACGGGGGCACCAGAACGAAGTTTGATTGTGTCACACGTTTAGTGAGATAGGATGTCATATTTGTGCATATTTATGACATTTAATGCAGGACGTCGCTAGTTATGCATGGCAGACCTGGGAACAGTGATCAATTGTTCTGTTGCCATGTTAATACAAACATCAACATATGCACTCACTTCGCCTTAAGTAGCCTTTGATGATGAAAGTATTTAAACAATTACATACAACCAAAAACCCTATTTCAATAAACATCAGGATGTGAAATGTGGTTATGGTATGGTGTCATTGTTACTATCAATTTGGCCTGATAGATTTGGAAAGCTGCGACAAAATAAACATACTAGACGAACTTTACAAGTGACTGGGACAGAGAGATACAAATGGATAACACTTTTGATTACTAATTACTGCATTTCGAGTCCTTCGAAGTCTCATAAGTGATGCTAAAGGTCTAAATTGTGAAGGCGACTCGGGATATCAGCATCTGTCAGAACGCCTGTCGATAGGAAAAGCCACTGATACGAAAAACCTTAATAAGAAAACAGTATGATCACATTTAAGATACCATGACATTACATTTTTGTGTCGGTTACCCCGTACTCATTATAACTTATACTATTGAATAATACTGATTTGCGTTTTTTGTATACATCAGGTATAACGCGTTGACGAATGTGTAAAACGGGTTAGCTATCACTTCAGCAGTCTTAGAGCTGATATGCTGATTGACACAAAACCAAAGTCAGTTTAGTATTTTAGGAATCCAATAGCCATCTACGTCAGATATATCTCAATTTGTAGAGTCGATGTCAATGAAGTGACATAACACCAATCGTGCCAATCTCATTGTCAGAATCTATTCCTACCACGGGCAGTAAGTGGTACTTCACGGTCCCCGCTTCTCGCTCTGGATAAGGTGTAAAGTGGCTTCTTAGGTCGTTGTCAGGTAACATGTCGGAGTAGGGTTTCATAACATTTCATGATATTTCGGTACGATGGCGCTATAAATGCATCCGTTAATGACCCCATTGTATGGACGCCGTATTCAAATGACTGTTGCCATGACATAAAATTACAAATTAAAATATTTTCGTTGTGAGGAGAAAAAATAAAATTCATGAAATCATTCTCTTGCTCAAGCATAGATTTTGTGCTCAAGCAAATATTTTTATAATTCACGTAAATCATATAAAATAATACAAATGTCAAATATGAAGATTGAATATAACTTGGACTTAAAGTCCTTTCAAACTGTTTTTAAAAAATCTTTTGCAAAATCAGCTATATTTACTAATTTCTAATGTAAACAAGGCATAAGGGTTGAACACAAAATTCATGCTTGAGCATGAGAACGGTTTCATGATTACGGGTCCTGGTCTTATTCTCCTTGTACTTGTTCAGGACTCTCCGTGATAATCTTTCTTTTGTTTATATTTTTGTCCTAGTTTTATGGAATTTGAGTTTAATTATGATTATGTTGCCATGTTGGTGTTTTCTTGATGTTGTTGTACATTGCTTTAGAGACCATATGTATAGAAATTCAAAGTCGGAAAGGGAACAGTTATGAGATATAATTAGAATCATAAACAAATGCTATAAGCAAAGCATCATTGCACTGTGATGATCGTAGCGCGACGATAAAAGAAGATATTTATTTCAATTAAGATTTGATGTAAGTTTAACATTTATTGTCATTAGCGTTAAGTGTAACTTGATCATTGTATTATTTAATTCAGGAATAAACCAGGACGTTTAAAACTATTGAACATAGCTGTGTTACCTAATTACATCTGTGACAGAAATATGGCATCATAAATCATCGCTGACATGTTGACAAGTCATTTATAATAATCTAAGTGTGTGTTGTCTTCTCTTACAAAAACGTCAGATGTAATACGAGTCAGCTCATAATCACTGGGGAATATATGATATTTCAACCAGAAGATCAACACAGGTGATACATAAACCTGTGAAATAAGATGTTATTTAATGGGTTTATGTCGTAAATAGGAGATATTTCGTCAACCGTTGGCATTGAAAGTGACTTACAGGGAATGTGATGTCGCTTTATGTACCTACCGGAATATAAGACATGTCAACTGTAATTTGGGAAGTGTGAGATCCGATTTCATAACTATGGAAGACGCAAAACACAATTACGCATAAGTACGTATTCGGTTTGGCGTTTACTAAATTGATCATGCATCATACAGAGGATAAGTCAATATAGATTTCGATAGAATTGACAAAGTAGAACCAAACCATCATGCTATTAAATCAAATTTGATATGTTACTAACGATGTATAAAACACGAAAAGATAATTGTCGCTGCTCTCACAGTGTGAATGTAAGTTAAACATTTCGAGGCGATGTCGGTCACATCAGTGTGATTCACTATCAGATATCTATTTATAGGGAGATAAGAAATAGGGGTTAGAAGTAAGGGGCCATGTAAATAGATAGTGTACAGTATGCTTCATGCTCGTTTAAAGTAAAGTGAAAATTTAAAAAAAAAACAGTTGTTGATTTCTTTTGTAAAGAGTCGGAAATTTTATATATCCTTATACCAAAATTGTAAAAACAAATACAATATATCTACTTTATATTTTTTCAAGCCAAACTATTTTCCGACAGTGCCCATATATGTATCCGTTTAAATAACTTCAGCTGTTGTTAAGAATTACGATAGTGATGGAAATGGAATATAACAGAAACAAGGAAAGAAGGGAACAGATACGCATTCAAAAAATAAACGAGTGACGGCAGAAACGAAAAAAAAGAAAGAAATCATAAGTACGGCGTTGATTACTGATAATTGTTGAGATAATAGTGACAGGGATACCTTACCATTCTGAGGGGGCGGTAATTGCATTGGGTACATCCAATTACATCAGCTGCAGTTCCACTACACATGATAATGTAAATGTCAAGAGCTTCAAAACGATGATACACTGGCAATCAGTAGTTCACGTTCTGCTCCCCCTTGTCCACCAAACCAATACGCTGTACCGTATCCGCGTGTGTGACTGATGTGTACACAAATACGTTCGGGGCGGAGCTTTATGAAAGATTATTACAGTTGAATTCTGTCACCGTTTAAAAAGTCAAGATTTGTGGAGCTAACAAGGTCGTACCGGTAAAATCTTTACAAGCCGTGCTTACACATGAGGACCGACTAATTGATCGTTATCAGGGGGAGGGCGAGCATTATTGACGTCTAACGGAGGAAAAGACTCGATGAAAAGGCCTCAATTAATAATTTTCGCTTTTCAACGAACGCAGTGTATACATCGTTTAGTTTGGATTAACGTCAATACAACGAGTTTACGAGTTTTTATATTATTCTCACAGTGAATCTTGTGAAACATTCTGGTAGTTAGTTTTTTTATTGACAAATATGCAGGCTCAGTGAAAAAAATATATATATGTTGTGTTTAAACACTCTATTACAGTGGAAATTCACCTACAACTAGATTATTAACATAGTATGGTATATGTAGGGTATGAAGGTGTTAGATATGTACTATAACAGTGTATATTTATCTGAAAACTGGATTTACAATTGTATATAAGATAGCGCAAGGATGGCAGTAGACGTAAAACATCTGTAGCGTGTGGTAAAACTCAGACGAACATTGGAGTCGCTTGCAAACGTTATTTCTGTGTGTGATATAGCAGATCTGGCTAGTAGGAATGGCTTGAGTGACATGAGTGTGTTTATGTCCTCTGTGCCAATTCCTTGAATATTTATAATTCTTAATTCCTGAGCTACCCCTGCTGGAAATGTATGTATAGATCTTCCTGTCAGATGTTGGTGCTTCTCACGGAAACAGCGAGAAACCAGCCAAGCATAAGGATAAAAGACAGAAAATAGCACGTATATCGCCGTATGAGAAACAGAAACACTAAGGATATAGAACAACCGGGACTGCTATGAGTTTGTCCTGGTGTTGAAGGACAGATGATGGATTTACGCTAAGATAAGAATATTGATACAACAAAATTATCTCAGACGAAGAAAACATATTGACGAACAGAAGGTAAATTTATCTAGAAGTGAAAGAAAAACGAAGAGAAGTGATACAGCAGTTTGTTTGACGGAAAAAACACGGGAAAAGAGTATGTTGGATTTTCCTACAATCAAAAATATGTCCGGGACGTAATGTAATTCCGGAATGTAAGGATGCGACTTGACATTTGGAAGCGACACTTGGTGGCCGCAGTGGGAATCCTTGTGACTGTTGTCCTGTTAGGACAGCTACTGTGGATGGTAGCAATACCGGGAAACGATATCTACAAAGAGTAAGTATTCAACTAATGTATGAAGTGTGTTTTAGACATATATTTACTTCCCTGTGTAGTAGTTTCTCGTTGGCTTTGTTTTCCTATACATTGTACTAAAAATACAAAGGTTTAAACAATTTTAAATAATGAACAATGATATACTACGTTAAAGAATATATTGATTTTTATAAAACGGAAAAATAGACAAACTAAGGCAAATAGTGTAGGGGCATAATGTTTGCGTCTAAACATTGTTTCTTAAAGAACCGTCGTGTAAGGGACAGGAAATGAATACATGACACATCAAACGTTTCACACATCACATGGCATTACAGAGAAATGATATATAAAAAAGCTATAAAAGTTAAACAAGACACTTAGTAACTTATTAATGGTTTCTGTTATTCTTTATAAAGAGCCAATCCTATAGTTGTGGGATCTGAATTTTCACGTTCATTCTAGTATGTTTATTCATATGATACTGGCTGTTCCGAAGATGTTAAACCCCGTGTGATAAATAAATATTATGTGTTCCACGCAATCTATATGTTCCTTTCTTTGTGCGATCTTGTGTTCCTTCCGAACTTAAGTTTTTTGTTCGATCTTATGTCTTTGTGCGGTCTAATGTTCCTTCCGATCTTATGTCTTTGTGCGATCTTGTGTTCCTTCCGAACTTAAGTTTTTTGTTCGATTTTATGTTCCTTCCAATCTTATGTCTTTGTGCGGTCTTATGTTTCTTCCGATCTTATGTCTTTGTGCGGTCTTATGTTCCTTCCGATCTTATGTCTTTGTGCGGTCTTATGTTCCTTCCGATCTTATGTCTTTGTGCGGTCTAATGTTCCTTCCGATCTTACAGCTTTGTGCGGTCTAATGCCCCTTTCGATCTTACAGCTTTGTGCGGTCTAATGTTCCTTCCGATCTTACAGCTTTGTGCGGTCTAATGCCCCTTTCGATCTTATGGCTTTGTGCGGTCTAGTGCTCCTTCCAATCTTATGTTTTGTTCGGTTTTATATCCCTTAAGATCGTTTGTTTGAATTGTGTTTGTTGCTTTTTGCGACCTATGATGTCACATGTCCCTTGTTGTATAATGTATAGAGTCTACCTGGACATCAGACTCTTAAGGAATTAATCTACCCCTGACAGGACGTTATCTATTTTAACACCGTAACAAATGATAGCTGAAGAAATCAATGTTTAAGCACAATGTACGGGATCGTTTCAGTAGTATTGTAGATTGAAATTGACGCAGTATGGAATTCCTAAGTCATGACAATGAAATAAATTATTGATTTCAGAAAGATGTGAGTATATTTAGCTCTGCAATTCCATGAACTCATTGAGAAAGGTGGACATGTGCTTAGATAGCACGATATAAAGAGTTTTAAGGATTACCAAGCTAAAAGTACATAATAGAACGTAGGCATAATGCTCGCTCCATGAGAAGCATATTTCGTACGTTTAGCATCTTAAAACTTTATCTTTAAACCGAGTCCCTTATAACAACATTTTCTAAAGCGAAGGCATTTAAGTACAAACGCTGGACAATAAATAAACAGTTATGTACACAAAAAACTAATCTCAACAATAAAGATGTGAGACAAAAGAAAAGTGACAAAAGTCAAAGTTATTGTTTTTACTTTCATGATAGTTTACTACTAATAGTGAAACCGACGATATATGGACGAAATTCACAAAGCAGTCGCTTATAGAAAAGTAGGAGCCATGAAACTTTCTGCTGTGTAGTGTTGTTATTTCGAGATGGTCCGGGTTCAATGTTCTAGAGTTTAAGGCTAATTAAAGAGGAACGTTACATCAAGGTCCCTGGTTTGTTAATGAGGATTGGTAGTTCCAGGGTAGTTCCAGATTAGTATGCATCTATTACATCAAGGTTGTATTGTATAGAAATATATTGAGGTTTGTGTGTTAAACAGGGACGAACACTCAACGTACTTGAGTATATAAAGGAAAACTAAGGTAATATTCCTACTTCCCGTTATTTCGTTCCATATTTTATCGCGCCATTGATCAATTTCGTTATTTTGACTAGTCATGATATGATTACAATTTAAACGGTGTATGTATAGCTGTTACTGATATATATACTAAGTAATATAGTGTTTCTCAGACGTGGGTTCCTTACTGCTTTCCCTCATAATTAACACAGAACAATCAAACTACCATAGTTCATGACTTCCAATCGTTTCCTTCCTGGTATGTGTACAAATTACTGCAGCCACCAATACTTCAGATATCTAGCGAGAAGTCAGGTTTATGCTGTGTAATGCACTCCTCTGTAGATCCACGCGATACGGGACTTAGCAGGTATTTACTGTATGTATAAACAAGTTAAAATGACTTAATGAATTGTCCTAATTACGTCGTAAAGGTATGCAGACAATTTGACATGTCTAACAGCTGTTTATCGTGTCAAAAAGACAGTTGACTGCGGGCGCACTGTATGTTTTTATCGGCAATATTTAATGAATACATACCACTCGATAGGAATAGTAAGCTACCTCGTGCAGGAAAAAGAGTTCTAGGCACCGCTCGTCGCAATGTCGAATTCTGAAGAACAAGGTCGAGGTATAAATAAAATATTATATGTGACACGAGCTTTGTCTCATTTCGTGACCGTTACTGTACCTAAGTATTATGGGAATCAGACCAGGTTTTCTACAAGGGTTCACGCCTTTTTGCTTCATCAATGACACTCGCCATATAATAAGGATTAACAAAAAGTAAACTTTCTTATTTGTCATAAATTCGTAACAATATACGTTTCATAAGATAAATACAATGTTTATCAATGGTGTCACGTGATTTCTACTAAAGCACAAAAATACAAATAGGCGAGGAGGGATAGAGAAACACATTTAGAAAATACCAACATGTAAATATAATCATAATCCAAACACTAATTCAGTAAGACAAAATATGAACGAAAGAGTGATTTACACGGAGACTCCTTTAAACGTACAACGGAAATAAAAACATGTGTTCCAGAACAGTCCGCGTCTCCTGCTTCTTCGACATTACCTCAATGTAAAGCTTGGCCAATCCAAATAATATCAAGTCCTCAATAAGGTATACAACAACGGACTCAACAGGCAAACGAACGATCCTCAAACATGTCCAACTTCATATTGCAAAACGAAATAGAACATTTCCGAATGAGATCATTATGAAAACCGTAGAACGTCACCACAATGTTCATCAACCTGCATCTGTAAAAAATATAAGCTTAACTTATTTGTTGTGAAACTGTAATATGACCTAGATAAATCAACATTTTAATAATCCGAATCATTGAAATATCTAACAGTGTTATTGTTTATGTTGTTAGTTTGTTCACATTTAGTTCACCCATTCAACAAAATTCCTGACAAACACAACAGCTTTTTCGGTGTAGTGATGAAAGTCTCGGGAACTTTTACAATCAAAAGGGTTATGCTATTTATCCCTCAAAAAGACAAATAGGTACGAGATTAAAAGTTATTTTTTTTAATGTTTTGGTAGCGTTTGAGTGTTCCAATGAAACTACATGAAAAGATATTGCAGTATCTATATTTTTGTTAATTATTACCCATATTGATTAATGTCAATGAACATCAATCATTTCTTTTATTTTGAAAGTTTGAAATATGACATTGCTGTTGAATTTTATTGATATGAAATGTACAACATTTTTTCATGTTACGATGTGGTAATTAAGAAACGGGTTTCACGAACTGTTTATTAAAAAGCAACAATGAGTACATGATTAAATCTGCAATGTTGATAGACATGATAAAAGTCGAAGTTGGCTGCGAAATCATAGTAATTACCATAATTGACAAACATATGTTTTACCATGAATTTGTAATTTGTTGATGTTATCAAAGAATTCATAACTTTCTAATAAAATCAATGCATAATGTTTAGCCAGTATCGAGTTAATCGTTTCTTAGAATGTCCGTAGTGGCAGTAACGCTCGCCATAAGATGTTTTATCTAAAAATCAATACTTGAAAATTGAATTATCGATACAATTTCTAGCAATCAATTATATAATCACGAAAATCGTTTCTGAATTATGAAACAGACTATGATAATGTATGGACATTGGCGCAAAACATATTGTATTGTCAAAATATTAAATTGTTTATCTTAATTAAAATTTGCGTTCATGACCGTAGATAAGGTCATTAATTCTCGGATCGATAGATTCGTTTCGACGTAAAATGCGCAGATTATGTTGATGGAGAAAGGCATGCTAAATTATGAGTTAAAGTAAGGTTTAAAAATAAGCGAGGCCCTGGCGAACGTTGTTAACAATGTGATTGCAATGATTCGAAATAGAATCTTGCAGTACATTCGTCTTGTCAAATTGTCATAAAGTCTAAAAATTACATAATGAGACAAAACGACGGGCAGTACATGTGATAAAGTCAAAACATCTAATTTTCATCATTACTTTATTTTATTGTTTTAGAATCTTGTTTCTTTTCTGCTAGGAATTTTTTCAAATGTATGTACAATGTAAATTGATAAACGTATTCTCTACATAACCGATAGGTTTGTTGTTTTGCTCGACTCTATCTTATTACTTGTATTAAATGGTGTCTTCACTTGTGTGTCTTTTGTACTGACTTCTGTGACAGCAGCTGGTAGACACTGCTGGCTGACCACCTGCATGCCACGTTTATAAACACCTGTAATTGACGTTCTTCTAAAATTATCCTATATATGCATATATGCACCTCCATGTCTAGAATTTGAATTTCTCTCTATCACTTTGGAATTTTCTCACACGGCTCTACGGTATATATGGTTCTACATTGAGGATATTAGCATCACCGCCGAGTCCTAGAAAGACAAAAACGCTGTATGATACAGTTAACTTCATCTTTTGGCTCTAAATATTTCGAAGTTTATACAGTATTATCAAGCTAGGAGGTCGTCAGTGATGCAAAGTTGTTAAAACCTAGGACGAAATAAAAGGTAGTCAGGATAGGGAAATGCTCTAGCTCCGTTATCGGA